ATACACGATTTATTCCTTATGTATACGACTCGTATGTACTAGTGTGTGATATTATCTGCATACATAAATTCCCGTTTTTCCTAATTTCAAAAAATTATAGTTAGTCAATTGAATTTTATATAGCCGTTATTAAACAATAATTACTGTCTCTTATACACATCTAGATGTGTATAAGAGTATAAATTTATGTGTATATGTATGTATTGGTTAAAGGGCTATGCTTGATACGATAGGATTTTTTTTTTCAATTTCTAGATAAAATTAATATACGTTATCATTTTCCCAAACAGGTGGATGGCGCTAACGTTGGCTGGTCACTAGGTTACATGGTAAATGCGACAAATGGCATCCCAACAGAGCCACCATCGTTACTGATACATGAGGAATTTTTCTATGGACTTTTAGCTTGCTATAGTATCATTGCATTTGTGGGTGTATTAATGTTATTAGTTTGTGCACAGCGTAGATGGAAACAAAAGAATGTTACAACATATGTTTCTATTTAAGGTAAAGATTAATTGTAAATATTTAAAATTAATGAGTTTTATGTTAGAGAATATATATGGTAATAATTGCAATCATTCTGAGGTACTGTAAACAAAGCTTTAAAAGATTTTATTTGAATACTGATAAGATGTGGGCGGGACATGTTTTAATTTGTGTGCTACTATATTCCATTGTGTTATTTGATGGAAAATTAGGAGCGTCTGAAAAGGAAAACAAATTAATGTATTGACATGGTGAGGCTTATTTTCCTATGAATTGCTGTGTGTTACATGATAGACACTGTGAATGGCGAAGTTTACCTAGTGTGCTTATTTAGGTAAAGTGAAAACATTAGTAAAAAATTAAAACTTATTGATTCCTTAACACCAAAAATATGCATAAAACTTATTTTGAATTATTAGTATAAATACTGACAGTAACTTCAAATTATTGTAGATCAAGGTTGTTTGGAGAAGGGGCAAGGTGTGGGGGTTTTGGCTAAGGCACTGAAAGCAGAACAATTTACAAAGAACTCCAAAGTCTTTCCTACTGGATTTTGTGGATATAAAATTTAAATTGCAGTTTAGTGTACGCATGTATGTATAACTTTGTCTTTTATGTTAATCAAATTAAATATTGATATTATTTGTCTGTATAATGTTATATTGCTAATTATATAATATAGACTATTGAATTGTAATTTAGATTATTTTAACTTTTCCAAATGTCAATTTTATCTGGTGCCAAAATGTCCATCAAATGGACACTACATGATTAGATTGAAATTAAATGAAATATTATATTCAATCAATCAATCAATCGTTCCATTTATATGGTGCCATTCCAACGGTTGTTGCTCGTGGAGCCGTTCCAAAAAAAAAAGAAGAGATTATTGAAAAAGGAGCGTCTTGAATAGTGACTTAAAACTATTGTATAGGTTAAATACGAACCGATGTTCTTATGTTATGTCGAATGTGCAACCTAATTGTCCTTTTTCCATTTTCTTATCTTAAGATTAAGAGTTAATTTTTCAAATCGTTCTTTGCCTATATATGCGTAGTCAATAATTTACGTTTTTAGTATTAAGAAGTATTCAGAATAAATCAACTGTAGAATCTTTGTAAATTTATTTTTTAAACTGTCATAATATATTTACATTTAAAAATCAAACGATGTGAAGTCATGGTAACTGATGTGTTGCCATAGTTTTTGAATGGTTGCTATAGCTACCAAGCTGTTGCCACGAGCAGTAGTAATAGGTTGATGAGCTTAGCAAATTAACAGATTTCTATAACTATGCCGTGGGCTCAGCCAGAATTGATTAAAGTTGGCACAGGAAGTCAGCTCATTTTGAATCGTTAATTTCGAGCTATGTTGGGAGGAGATCGTGGTCGTTCAAATCTCATTTGTTCGTGAACCAACATATACGTAAAGTGCTTTTTGGATCTACATTTATATTTTTCATTTTTAAATAGTTTATAAATACAAGAACTTGAAAGAATAAAAAGATTATTTCCTGTTTTATTTGGATATTTAGAAACAATTGGTGAATCATTTCTATTCAGCAGCATCAATGATCTTTGCGGATTGTAGTGAAGATGTTGATGATACTGGTATTGGAGCACCATCATACAGATGGTGAAGACCATGGGCGTCGATTGATGGGGACGGGGGGACACGTCCCCAACTTCTCAAAGTAGGGGACATCATACTTTTCTATAGAAACAAAACGTCAAACCCCACTTTTCAAAGCGAGTGGGAAGAACAACAATTACGCACGACTGTCATGAATTTTGTCTGTTCACTGTGCTCTTTTCCTGTTTTTTCTAATTTAAAACAAAATTATAGTCGATTGAATTTATATAGCCGTTATTAAACAATAATTATACAGTCTTTGACACGAACAGGTCTATTTCGATTTAGTTAAGTGGTGATAC